CCTTGGAAATCAATACACCATTAACTTTATTGACAAAAGGAAAATAATAGTTGGGAATAGGTTCTAACTGAGCCATTAAAAGCCCCAAACCAACCAGTGCATTCATTTGGTTTTCCGTTTTCACTCAAATTAGAGCAAAACCTACAGCTACCCAAAGGCTGGAACTATTCTGGTCTACAAAAAAAAAAAGATAATTCAAGGATCTAACTAGTCAGTGTCAATCAGCCTACTGGTGATGTCCAATCAGCAAGCTCATTGCATGTCCTGTATATTCATCACATAGATGGTGGCTCTTTGGGTTGGAGCCTGGTCGAAGGACTGAGCTTCTAGTTTGCTGGCAAGGGCAAATTTAGAACACAGAATATCTACTAAGGAGATTCTCAGTCCTCCAGGTCGTGGTTATCCCAAAGGTGCTTTTTCAGAACTGCCATCTTCTTCTGGCTTAGTGCCAGTCTGCTGTGAACTCTGGGGGGGGGGAGATTGTTCTGACCCGGGCTTCCCAAAAGCACAAAGCCGACTCCTCGTCCCGATAAAACCCCTTTTATTTAGGTTAAAATGAATTCCTCTCCAGCAAAGTCCTGGCCAACGGTCTTTCAAGAGATTTCACAAATACAGACCTTTATCGGTCTTGGAGAGCTGCCAGGCCAATATCTTCCAAACACCACCCTGGGGCAGCAATTACTTGGCAAGAAGTCAGGAACAGATGTTCACCCTAATGAATTGAACTAATTGTCTCCTGCAAACACTCCTCCCCTTTCGGTCTCTTTATTCCCTGGGTGGGGCCATTCACCGTCCACCTGTGCCTTTATTCCCGAGCGGAGTCCTTGTTCCTTAGTTGTTCCCTTCTTCTGGCAGCTCTGTGCATGCGCACACTGGGAACAGGCTCCAGCTGTTCTTCTGCCTCGCTGACGTCCGACTCCAAAGGCAGCTGATCTGTCAGACGGTCCTGGCCCCATCTCTGCCTCTGACGCAGAGCCCTCGTCAGAGCCTCTCCCAGACTCCAGGACTCCAGGACCGGCCCATGCTCCTCCCCAACCTCCTCACTGTCTGAATCTGCTGCCAGTCCCACTGGCCACTGGCGGGCCATGACAAAGATGGGAGGGGAGAGGATTTGGAGGGTCACAGTTCCAAGCAGGCTCCACACCCATTGGCACTATGCAGGTGACCCTGAGGACACAGAAAAACCTCCAAGTGGCCTCAACAACTCACTCAAAGAATGCAAATGACTAGCTGTCTGCAAGGAGTATAAATCCTTCCATTCCCCACCATCCAGTCAGAACTGAAGAAGCTTCTTGGATGAGAAGCAAAACCTCTTCAAAGAAGAAACAAAGTCCAGTTGCCTCTTGAAAAAGCACCTTTGGGACAACCACAACCTGGTTGACTGAGCATCTCCACAGACATCCCTCAAAGCATCCTTCTGCATTGTGGTGGGGTCTGTAATGTCCTCTTTTGTTTTTGACACAAGTGCTAAGAAACATCATTTGATGTTGGGATCAAAGTAGTCCTTACCATTCAATCACTTCACATTCAATTCTCTGGATTATTCCTTTGCTCCACCCTTTCTCCAACATGTTGCTTTCAAGCATGCTTTGGTAATCAGTACCGGCTGGGGAGTATGGGAATAGATGTCCACTGCATCTAAAAGATGCCACCTGAAAGATAACTCTGATTATATATAGAATATGACTATATAGCCCCTCTGTCTCTCTCTCTCTCTCTTTCTACATATGGTAATTTGATAATTCATGTGAATACATGAATAAGTGATGCAATTTTAATACTGTTTATTTCTACTGGTGACCAGCTTGGAGATTATGAGCCAGGTTAACTGTGGGGAAATTGCTTTTCTAAACAAATGTAGTTGCTTATGATTAAAACACAACTGAAATAGGAAAACATTGCCTTGAAATATTACATGCCTTGGCTTGACCATTTCTTTCATTCTCTCCAACCACTCCTCAGCTCAGTCATCAATCACTCAATCACTCAATCAATCAGTGTACAGATAGTCCTTAACTTACAATAGTTCCTTTAATGACCGGTCAAACTTACATCATCACTGAAAAAAAGGTGACTTGTGGCCATTTTTCACACTTAACGACCATTGCGGCATCCTCATGGTTACGAGATCAAAATTCAGACCCTTTGGCAACTGACTCATAGTTATGACGGTTACAGTGTCCGGATCATGGGATCCCCTTTTGTGACCTTCTGACAAGCAAAGTCAATGGGGAAGCCAGGTTTACTTAACGACTGTGTGACATTTAACAACTGTGGTGATTCACTTAACAAGTAGGGCAAAATTCACTTAACAAATGTTTCCTTTAGCCACAGAAATGTTGGGCTCAGTTGTGGTCGTAAGTCAAGGACTACCCACATTGGGATTTTTAAAAAGGAGAAAAATCCACTTGATCTTTTTTATTCCAAAATATATGGAAGGTTAGTACCTCTGTAAAAGAAAAAAGAATGGGGTTTTTTTTGAACAAGGTCTTATTGTGACCTTTCCCTCCCTCATCACTCTTTGTCTAGCTGGGCGTCGTTTTTATTCATGGTTGCTTTGACTGTGATATATGTGTGTGTGTGTGTGTGTGTGCATACATACGTACATGCATACATACATACATACATACATACATATATATATGTATGTATATATATATATGTGTGTGTGTGTGTTTTCTTAAGTTTTCGCGGGTACTTACATGTATGGTATTCAGCTTTGTTCGGGTATTTTCCCACGTTATTATAGTTGTGCTTTTAAAGTTGTAGCAACGTTTCGGCAGAATCTCATCTGCCTCATCGTCAGACGAACACTATACAGAAGCCTGATGATGGCAGATGAGATTCTGCCGAAACGTTGATCCCACGCCATAAATTTACCACATGGTCGGAATTCACATCACATTAAGTCTCCACACTAGTTTGGAAAATCAATTTAATTCAGTGAGCCATGGTTAATCCTCCTCCTTTTCAACCGTCCTCTGATCTATTTTATCTCACATGGTGTGATGACCCAAAGGGGCGTGGCACAAAAACAACAAAGTCACAAAAGTAGGTAAAGTCCTTTAATTCCTCCAACTTGGCCCCCAACATCCAGTTATCATCAGCTGGAGAAAAATCTCTCCCAAGAACAGTTTCTAAAGGGAAGAAATTCCGTCCGAACCCAAAGTACATCTAAATTATAAATAAAAACCGACACAAACCACAAGCTGCAGCAATTAACGAGACAGGGCAGGATAAGGGATTGAAGACGTCAAAAGACAATGAAACACACGCAGTTGGGAGGATGCCAGAACCCAGATAAGACTTAACAATTTATAATTCACGATTTGCTTCCAGCAAGGTGCTGTGTGCAAATGCCCTTTTTAAATCCTGTTTTCCCAGCTGCAGCTAATGAAGGGAATCAGGGCCCTTTTCTCCCCTGTAACCCACGTTGCTCCCTTCTCCGTTCCTCCCTGCGCGCCCTAGGATGAAGAGGAGGTGGCCCTGGGTCTTCCTCTGAATGCCCAGCCAGACTGTGCCCTTCCCTAGTTTCCTCCACAGCCACCGGAGCCACATTCCCACTCCCTGTTGGCTGTTCCACCTTTCCTAGGAATCAGATTCCGACAAAGGCATGACACATGGCTTGCTGAGACTTAAAGATCTTTGGCATTCTGGCGAGATTCATATCATATTATTGCCTCCAGAAATCGTGAACGCTCCATCACTGGATGTTTTTAAGAAGGCCCTAGACAGTCACCTATCTGAAATATTATAGGTTCTCCTGCTTGAGCAGGGGGCTGGACTAGAAGACCTCTAAGGTCCCTTTCCAGCTCTTTCATTCTATTGTTCTATCTATTTGGAATGGAATGATAGAGTAATCAAGTGGTCACCAAGAATACATCAGGATACAATCTGGAGTTGAAGTTCTCCCTCAGCCCCACCGTTTGTGACCTTGGACCAACCACTCTTACTCTTAATCTAACCCACTTCCCAAAAATGGATTTCTACGGACAAAAACAGCTGAGAAACCAGAGTTCTTTTGCAGGACACAAATAAGTTTTTGTACTCAAACCTTGTGGACATTCGGAGTATCTTGGTTGGTGTTTGGAGACTCTTTCTGTTTGAAATATTTCTTGGCAATTTTATCTAGTGTTCTTGGCAGCCTTGGACAACCTTGGCAAGGCTCGTTCTTATCACAGACAATTAGTTTGAAACAGCCTTTTAACCGGGAAGGAACGGAATTTGTAAAGAATCATTAAAAGGTTTTGCTCTATTTCATGTTTGTTTCCTTGGAACAAGGTTTGCGACAGAACAACTTTCTGGATAAAGTTGTAAGGAATGGTGCAGATTTTAATTGCTCTCTTTGTGTTGTGGCTCCGATTCCTGAGCCTGTGCTGTTAGAGGAAGAGGACTCGGAAGATGAGGAGGAGGAACAGGGAATGCCTTCCTCCCCAGGACCTTCCTCTCTGGCAATGCCTTCCTCCCTGATAATGCCTCGGGTTTCAGCAGACAACCGAGAGGAACAGCCTGAGATTAATCAGGAGGAAGGCATATCGGAGCAGCTCCTGACAGGGAGTCAAGTGGACGAATGTTGGCTTGATCCTAGGCAGCGTCGTAGGAAGAAATGTGAGCTGCAACATAGGAGGCGTGGACGAGTCAGAGAGTGAGTTGAGTCATTGAGCCACACCCCACGGGATAAAAGTGGGTGTGTTTTTCTCTGGAAACTTTGTACGGGACAAAGTTTTACTTCTCTCTTCCAGGTTTTGGTGTGATTGTTTCTTGTGGTCTGCTTTGGAATCTTTAGTGATGAATTCTTCTTGCTATCATTTCGGACGTGGCAGGCAGCGTGTGTTAGAATGCCAAGGACATTATCAGTATAAAGGATTAACTCTGTAAAGACCGAGTCAGCTTGCCTGCCTCTGTTTGTTTGAGTTTGGACTCTTTCATCTTTCTTGGAAAGAAGAAAGGTGAGACATAACATTTTGTCTCTGTGATTTCTTCTCTGTCTGTTATTTCAGTATCTTCTCTTGGTCCGAAGCGAAATGAACGTTTCTCAGAAACACCTGGGAGAATTCTGTGCCTCCCTGAAGCAATACTTGAAGACCGTGGCTGGAGAACAAGATTGCTTCCAGTAAGTAGGACACGGACCTCTACAGGAACATGACATGTTCTGGAATCTGGAGAACCTACAGAACCTGCTTAATATCTTTGCAATGGCTGGATTAACCATTAAAAAAAAAAAAAGAAGATTGGTCCCCTTAGCTTTTAGACAAGATGTAAATGGAACAATGTAAATAGAATAACTTGCCTTTAGAAGTTGTGGGTGCTCCATCTTTTAAGGCTTTCAGATACAGATTAACAGAATTGGAAGGGACCTTGTAGGTCATCTAGTCCAACCGCCCCCCCCACACACCCTGCACCATTCCTGACAGATGGCAGTCCAATCTCTTCATGAAAGCCTCCAGGGATGAAGCTCCCACAACTTCCGAGGGCAACTTCTGTTCCATGGGTTGATTGTTCTCCCTGTCAGAAAATTCCTCCTTATTTCCAGGTTGAATCTCTCCTGGATCAGTTTCCATCCATTGTTTCTTGTCTGGCCTACAGGTGCTTTGGAGAATAGCTTGACCCCTTCCTCCTCCTCTCTGGGGCAGCCCCTCAAATATTGGAAGATGCTCTCCTTTCCTTCTACCAGTCTATCTCCATTGTTTTCTTGCCTCGCTTCTTCTCCTTCCGATCCCTAATAAAAATAGCTGCTAAGGAAGATAAAATAAAAATAAGCCAGGGACAGAAGGAAGGAGGCACCGGAGTTTCTGAAATGATTGGGGGGCGGGGGGGCAGGTGTTTGAGGTCCAGATTGTCATTTAATACAAAGCAATCTCATTTGCACTTTGCAAACCAATTTGCAAACAGAAATGGATTCCTTGTTGGGTTTTGGCACTTCTTTGCACATTCCACATGATCAAAAGGGAAATATTGCATACCAAAAATTAAAAGAGAGAGAAGGAGAGGGAGGGAGAGATCCATTCTTTTGGAAAAAAGACAAGAAGAGGGGGGAAAGGAGTGGGAGAAGCAAGGATTACCAAAACAGAAAGATTCTTCTATACGTTAATAATATTGGTTGGATTAAAAATGCCAGATCCATTCTAAATATCTCCTCCCTTCCCATGTCCCTTCCCTCACAGTCCCCCTTTCATCCCTGCCCCACTGCCCCACTCCATCTCCTTCACTCTCACTGTTCCTTCCCTATCCCTCTAGAATAGAATAGAATAACAGAGTTGGAAGGGACCTTGGAGGTCTTCTAGTCCAACCCCCTGCCTAGGGAGGAAACCCTGCACCACTTCAGACAACGCTCTCTCCCTATCCCTCTTTCCCTCCCTCTTTCCTTTCTCTCTGTCTCCTCCCCCTCTCCTCCCCTCCTCCCCCTCTTCTTTTCCATCTCACCATCTCCCTTTCCATCTCCCCTGCCCTTCCCCCTCTTCCCTCTCCTTTGCTCTCACTGTCTCTCTTTCCTTCCTCTCCCGGACCACCTCCCCTTTCCCTCTCCCTTTGCTTTCCCTCCCTCCCTTCCTCTCCCTCTCCCTTCACTAACCCTCTCATTATCTACTTCTCCCTCCCTATCCCGGTCTCCCTCTTTCTCTTTTGGACAACCAGCTAAATAGGAGCCAGCAGTGTGCAGCAGCAGCCAAAAAAGCCAATGCAATCCTAAGTTGCATTAACAGAGGCATACAATCAAGATCAAGGGAGGTACTAATACCACTCTATAAAGCCTTAGTAAGGCCACACCTAGAGTACTGCATCCAGTTTCGTTCACCACATTATAAAAAAGATGTTGAGACTCTAGAAAGAGTGCAGAGAAAGAGCAACCAGGACAATTAGGGGACTGAAAGCTAAAACATACAATGAATAGTTGCAGGAACTGGGCCTGGCTAGTCTAGTGAAGAGAAGGACCAGGGGAGACATGATAGCGGTCTTCCAATATTTGAGGGGCTGCCACAGGGAGGAGGAAGAAGTCAAGCTATTCTCCAAAGCCCCCGAAGGCCAGACAAGGAAGAATGGATGGAAACTGAACAAGGAGAAATTTAACCCGGAAACAAGGAGAAACTTTCTGACAGTGAAGAACAATCAACCAACAGAAAGCAGGTTAGTGGGGTGGGGAGGGAATGAGGATTTTGCAGTATTCTTCCCCTGCCATGCCCACCAAGCCACACCCACAGAACCAGTAGTAAAAAGAATTTGAATCCCACCACTGGTCCAACCTCCTGCTTAGGCAGGAAACCCTTTCAGACAAATGGTTATTCAATCTCTTCTTAAAAACCTCCAGTGATGGAGCATCCAGAACTTCTGGAGGCAGGTTGTTCCACTGGTTAATTGTCCTCACTGTCAGGAAATTCCTCCTTAGTTCTAGTTTGGTGACCTTGGTTTAGACCAGGGGTCGCCAACCTTTTGGACCTCAGGGACCACCAATCTCATAATTTTAAATCCCGCGGACCAGAGACCCTGGGCAAATCCCCCCCAAAAGTCCCCACCCCGTTTTCCTACCAATCAATCATTCTTTATTTGGGATCGCAGGATACCGTCTCCAGCTCCGTTCTCAGGGGGGGGGAGAGAGAGAGAGACTTTTGGGTTCATGCAAGGAAAGCAGCAGAAGTCTTTCTTTCTCTCCCCCAAACTTCGCTAGAAATGAGTCTTTGCCGGCGCAGCCTTACAGGGTCCCAAGGACTCATTTCTGGCGGAGTTTGGGGGAGAAAAAGAAAGACTTTTGCTGCTTTCCTTGCATGCAGACAAAAGCAGAAGAAGGAAGCGGAAAGAAGCAGCCCGGTGGCCAGGCCAGGCGCGTGGGGCGAGTGGGGCAAGTTCCCCCCCCCCCCCTTTCCCCCCCCCCCCCCCTCCCCCGTGCTGTTCCCCATGCAAGCGCTGCCAGCCCTCGATTCCTGCGGGCCATGTGGGCGGCACAGCCTTGTGTTCTGTGCAGCCTGGATTAATTGCTTTGGGAGGTGCTTTGGGGGTGACATTTCTCTGCGGACCACCAACATTTTCTCATGGACCACCAGTGGTCCCCGGCCCACTGGTTGGTGACTATTGGTTTAAACAACAATTTCCTGCTTAGACAACAGATTTCCTATGGTTGGCATCTTTTGTGATCTGCTATGCATTGCTCAATTGCTTAAATCCTTAGGAATACACTTTAAAAAAAAATTCAGGGATGCTTTTCTCTGCAGCCCCAGCTCAATCTGGCCCACTTTTCGATTTCATTTTTTCTCTTGCCAGATTCTTGCAGCACTCCAAATTTTACCCCATCTTTTTTGGTTTTCAAAGAGTTGTTCTGCTGATGGACAGATAGGCAGTCCCAAACTCCTTGCCTGATATATTTATTTTATCAGCATAACAGAATAACTGAGTTGGAAGGGACCCTGGAGGTCTTCTAGTCCAACCTCCTGCTCAAATCAATTTGTATAATCAGCCATCTCAACATACAACTTGTTTCCAATGTTCTGTTGGGCTGCAAAGAATCAAAAGGACTCAGGAATAGAATATCCAAGCAAGATCTGCATTATGAAGTTTGGTTGTTCTTCAGAAGCTTCATTAATTCTCTCAACAACCTCAATCAGATAATACAACTGACTGTTGTGTAGTTCTCCATAGGGAGCTTCTTTTCCACTCCTCAAACTGCTTGTGCCATTTTTCTTGGGGAAAAATATTGCTTTAATTAAACATTCTTTCCTTCTCCTTTTTTTAAATAACTAAAACAGACTGCCCATCTCCAACATCACGTTTGTTTCAAAGAAAACCCTTGGGCTCCATCAACGTTATTAGAAAATACGTTTGCGGGGCAGGAAGAAGCTAAAATGCAGCAGGAAACATCGTTTTCATCTTTCTCTCTCTCTTTTTTTTATTTTTCTCAATGGAATTGTAAAGGTGCAATTGGATCACAACAACGTTCAGCGAGAACACCCAAAAGGAGCTCTCAAAACTTCTAAATGCACCCAACACTACAGAAAGATTGGTGGATGCTGATGACCAATGTCATATTGCTGCTTAATGCTCATGCAGAGACTTCAACTTATGACCTCAACTGGGACCAGAATTTCTATTGAATAGAGAATAGAGCTGGAAGGGACCTTGGAGGTCTTCTAGTCCAACCCCCTGCTCAAGCAGGAGAACCTATACCATTTCAGACAAATGGCTGTCCAGTTTCTTCTTAAAAACCTCCAGTGATGGAGCACCTATGATTTCTGGAGGCCAGCTGTTCCACTGGTTAATTGTCCTCACTCTCCTTAATTCCAGGTTGCTTCTCTCCTTGATTAGTTTCCAACCATTGTTTCTTGTCTTGGCTTCTGGTGCTTTGGAAAATAAATCGATTTCTTATTTGTGGAAGCCCCTCAAATACTACAAAACTGCTATCATGTCCCCACTAGTCCTTCTTTTCTTTGACTGGCCATACCCAAATCCTGCAACTGTTCTTCATATGTTTTTGTCTCCAGACCTTTAATCGTCTTAGTTGCTCTTTTCTGCACTTTTTCCAAAGTCTCAACATGTGCAATGTGATGACCAAAACTGGGTGCGGTTGTGGCCTTGCTAAACGAGGCAGTTGTGAAGTGATTCGCATCTTATTTTACAGCCCTTTTTTGCCATAGTTCTTCAAGTGAATCACTGCATTGAAGTGAATTGCAGTTTCATTAAGCAAATCTGATTCCCACCATTGACTTTACTTGTTGCAAGCTGGTTGTGAAGGCTGCCAACGGTGATCACATGACCCCAGGATACGTTGCAACCCTTGTAAAGAACATGCTGGTTGCCAAGCAGCCCAAACTTTTAATCACATGACCCTAGGGCTTGCAGGAGTTGTAATATGCAATAACTAGCCTAGGTCCCTTTTTTCAGTGCCGTTGCAACCTGGAATGGTCACTAAATGAATGTGTTTCTGACCCAGCTCCCCAAACACAACAAACCCTCTGAAGTTAACTCAAAGATTCCTGTATTAGGAGTGCTGGCAGCCCTGGCATAAAGTTTCTCTCTCACCGCAGGCTAACAAGTCCGGCCAGCCGGAAGATGAATAGTTCTCTGCCGCATCTATTCATCTCCCCTCCACCTGCCTTTTATGCCGAGACAGAGCTAGGATGGGGATTCGTTTGCAGCCGTGGCTCTTCTGTCCCAAGGACCTGCCCATAGATTTCCACTGCTCTCCTCTCCTCTGCTTTTTGTGTATCTGCGCATCAGGCACTGGGCCCAGCTGTTCCTCCTCTTCCTCATCAGCCACCTCCAGACCTGGGGGCTGTCAACTCTCCATCTGAGGGCTGAGGGACGGCCCAGACTCCGCCTCTGTCTCTCTCTCTCTCTCTCTCTCTTTCTCTCTGCCAGCTCTTCCCCCTCAGAGCTCTCAGGTTGCCCTGATGCTGACCCTGACTTCCACACCTCCTCCTCCTCCTCTGATTCGGCAGCTGGAGGGGCCAGCGGCCGACAGGCCACAACTGAATGGTTGCAAGTTGAGGGCCATCTGTATTCCTGAACATCATAGAGCAAGGGTCAGTCCTGTGACTAGTGCAGCTCTGGAATATGGGACCGACTTTCCCACCAACGTCAGCAAGCCACCGCCAGTCAAAATTCATATTAGTGGTCTTGCGGGATTTAAAATTATGAGTTTGGTGGTCCCTGAGGTCCAAAAGCTTGGCGACCCTTGTCATAAAGGAAGCAGCTTCTTGAATGAGTTAAAGGTTAGCAGCTAAAGAAGGGTAACTGGATTCACACAAGTTTGCTCAGCTTGCTTGGGGGTAAAGTTTGCAGCTTATGTTGTTTTGTGCACCCAATCCGTATCATTCATTTGGGGTTGATGAATCATGAACTCCTCTCCTCAGCTCTCAATAGAATACCTTATACCAGCCAGGCTTGAAATTTTGCACCTAGACACCTTGGAACTACACCACCTACTGTCTGACCTAAGCTTAGTACACAAAATTGTCTGCCTACCTGTCAGTGACAACTTTAGCTTCAACCACAATAACACACGGGCAAACAATAGATACAAACTCAAGGTAAACCACTCCAAACTCAAGTGCAGAAAATACGACTTCAGCAACAGAGTGGTCATTGCCTGCAACTCACGGTCTGACTCTGTTGTGACATCCTCAAACCCCCAAAACTTTAACGTCAAATTGTCTACCATGGACCTCACTCCATTCCTAAGAGGTCCTTAAAGGGGGCGTGCATAAGCGCACCAGCGTGCCTACCGTCCCTGTCCTACTGTTCCCATTTATTCGTACTTATTTATTATGTATATACTTATACCTGTTTATACTTACATGTTTATATGTTACGTTCATATTTATACTTGTTTTCTCATCCATGCTTGACAAACTAAATAAAATAAATATATTGTTTTTACAGGAGATGATTTCTCTGCTTGTCATTATTGACTCCCAATGTGTTTCATTTGTTGCAGTGTAACTGCAGTCAGGCTGCCTGATGGAGTCACTTTCATTGTCTACGAATTCTGGGAGAATGAGGATGACTGGAAAAGGTACCGTAACTGCTGTCTTGATCTACTTTGTTTTTCTACTCTCAGCTTCCGCTCCACCAATGTTCTAAGAAACCAGCTGACGTTTTTCTCCGCTCTTCTCCTTGCCTCCACAGACACCTCCAGAGCCCCGTCTGTAAAAGTTTCCAGCATGTCAAAGTGGATACGCTGAATCAGCCAGAAGGAGTATCCAGTGTGTCAGTGCCAGGTCTGAACCCTAAGATTGTGACAACACTAAGATCGAGAATGGCCTTGGTGTGGGGACAGGGCTTGCGTGTTTGAATATTTTGATTAAATAAATGTTTCCTTGGAAACTAGCCTGAATCCTGACACATCCCTGGTTTTCTTGGCAATGGAATAAATAGAACATGGTGTGGTATTGCTTTCTCCCAGGCTGACTGTTCAATTTCCCATTATAGATACAACACTGGCTTTTCCTGGTGGTCTCCCATCCTATTACTAACCATGGCTGACTCTGCTTAGCTTCTACGTACCAAGGAAGCCTGGTTTTGCTGAAGCCACAGCATCTAATGCCAGCTCAGCATGGATGTGATTGGGTTCGTTGTATGAGATGGCATTTCGTTTTGAAGGGCCAAATGGGCTGAATCAGCATCACTAGCTGAGTTCACACAACTTGTTGAAATAGGTTGAAATAAAACCCAACAGTTCATGGCTGAAGAGATTGTGGGGGGGATATGGGGGGAATGTCGTTCTTTAGCAGGTTGTGTGGATGAGATGGTCACGGAAAGACGGGTCTTGAAAGACAGGCCAAGTAATGTAACCGTGGGAATGGTATTTTGATAAGCTGGATTGAGATGTTGTGTGAAGCCAGCCTTTGCTTGCAAACTTTTATGAGCCATGAATGGAAAGATCAAGACAAGAAATGTACACTGCTCAAAAAAAATAAAGGGAACACTTAAACAACACAATGTAACACCAAGTCAATCACACTTCTGTGAAATCAAACTGTCCACTTAGGTAGCAACACTGATTGACAATCAATTTCACATGCAAATGTTGTGCAAATGGAATAGACAACAGGTGGAAAGCATAGGCAGTTAGCAAGACATCCCCAATAAAGGAGTGGTTCTGCAGGTGGTGACCACAGACCACTTCTCAGGTCCTATGCTTTCTGGTTGATGGTTTGGTCACTTTTGAATGCTGGCGGTGCTTTCCCTCTAGTGGTAGCATGAGACGGAGTCTACAACCCACACAAGTGTAGTGCAGCTCATCCAGGATGGCACATCAATGCGAGCTGTGGCAAGAAGGTTTGCTGTGTCTGTCAGTGTAGTGTCCAGAGCATGGAGGTGCTACCAGGAGACAGGCCAGTACATCAGGAGACGTGGAGGAGGCCGTAGGAGGGCAACAACCCAGCATCAGGACCGCCACCTCCGCCTTTGTGCAAGGAGGGACAGGAGGAGCACTGCCAGAGCCCTGCAAAATGACCTCCAGCGGGCCACAAATGGGCATGTGGCTGCTCAAACGGTCAGAAACAGACTCCATGAGGGTGGTATGAGGGCCCGACGTCCACAGGTGGGGGTTGTGCTTACAGCCCAACACCGTGCAGGACATTTGGCATTTGCCAGAGATTGGCAAATTGGCCACTGGCGCCCTGTGCTCTTCACAGATGAAAGCAGGAGTTGGAGGGATGCTTTAGTCCAGGTGTGGGAGGAGATCCCTCAGGAGACCATCCGCCACCTCATCAGGAGCATGCCCAGGTGTTGTAGGGAGGTCATACAGGCACGTGGAGGCCACACACACTACTGAGCCTCATTTTGACTTGTTTGAAGGACATCACATCAAAGTTGGATCAGCCTGTAGTGTTTTTTTCCACTTTAATTTTGAGTGTAACTCCAAACTCCAAGGGGAGGTCTGGATTTGGAGACCATTGATAATTTTTGTGTGATTTTGTTGTCAGCACATTCAACTATGTCATGAACAAAGTATTTCATAAGAATATTTCATTCATTCAGATCTAGGATGTCTTATTTTTGTGTTCCCTTTATTTTTTTGAGCAATGTATTTAATTTAAATAAAAGAGGCTCTCCTTATATATTTTCTCTGTGTGTGTGTGTCTATTTCTCTCTCTGTCTCTCCCTCTCTCTCTCTCTATCTGTCTCTGACCCTCTCCCTCTGTGTCTCTGCCTGTCTGTCTCTGTCTGTCTTTCTGTCTCCGTTTCTCTTTGTCTCTGTGTGTCTGTGTGTGTCTCTGACTCTGTCTGTCTGTCTGTCTGTGTCTGGGTATGTGTGTGTGTCTGTCTGTGTCTGTCTCTCTGTTTCTCTCTGTCTGTCTGACTCCGTGTGTGTCTCTCTGTCTCTGTGTCTGTCTGTCTGTCTGTTTCTCTCTCTCTCTCTAACTCCATAATCCTTGTTTACTGAGAGCATCTCTTTTCATTGCAGCTGCCTGGTGCACCCTCAACCGAGACTGAACTGGAGGAGACAGGGCCCCAAAGGGAAGTTCAGATGGGTCTCCTTCTCCTCGCCTGGCTGGTGCCAACGTCCTTTCCTCTCTTCGGCAGAGAAGCACACTCTTACCTTTTCTAATAACTTTGTTACTAGTGTTGTCTCTTCTCCCTCCCTTCCTTCCAACACATTTCTGTCTAGAAATGAGATTTGTTTGCTCTTTGAAGTGGAAGAAGGAACAACAAGAAGTCTTAACTATCTTCCAACTACTAGGCCATGGCCAGCAAACCATTTTTTTTCTCCCCTGAGCTACATACCCCAAGCCTGTAACAAATTTCAGTCTGGTAGCTGCCAGAGATGAGGGCTTGATTGCAAGTTCCAAATGTGCTTTTTCAAGAGGCAATAGGATTTTTTAGTAAGTCTTCGAAGATGTTTTGCTTCTCACCCAAGAAGCTTCTTCAGCTCTCACTGAATGGTGGAGAATGGAAGACTGTGTCTACAAGACAGTCCTTTCAGCTGTTCCAAGAAGGCTCCACACCCATTTGCCCCCGAGGACACAGACAAAACCTCCAAGTGGCCTCAACAACTTTCTCAAAGAATGCAAATGACCAGCTGTCTGCAAGGAATATAAATCCTTCCCTTTCCCAAACATCCAGTCAGAGCTGAAGAAGCTTCTTGGATGAGAAGCGAAACGTCTTCAAAAGAAAAACAAAACCAAGAAAGTCCAGTTGCCTTCTGAAAAAGCCACCTTTGGGACAACCATGGCCTGGAAGACTTGAGAATCTCTCCAGACTTTTAGCTTGATTGCAAGCTTTAATGTAGCACTGCGGAAAATTTCTTGAAAAAAATTAGCAGGGGGTTTCCCCCAAGGCCATTCAGAGTTTCACCAAGGAAGGGGTTTTTCTCCCCCCCACTGACTAGATGGGTTGGGATGGGATGGCCTGCCTTAACCACCTGGCCTGGCTCAGACCACAGTGAAGTGACATACCCAGTGACCTACAGTAGTGGAAAGGCTCTCTCTTCCTCTTGTTTTGGAACAGGGGTGTCAAACTCAATTTCATTGAGGGACGCATCAGGGTTGTGTTTGACCTTGGAGGGGGAAATGCAGTGGTGCAATGATTCAACAGGTGTAACAACCGATTCGGTGAGCGTGCGCTTTGCACGCGTGGCTCTACATTGAAAAGAAACTCATTTGCAACTCAATTCCTTACCTTCTATCGCAGCCCCTGGGACGACAACAGCTGATGCATGGCAAACCGCTCTGCCGTGCGACTCAGCTGGGCTAAAAATAAATAAACAGGGAAAAAAAGCACAGGAAAGAACAGGTGCGGGTAGGCGGGGCCAAATGCTCACTGGAACTACTGGTTTGCCTGAACTGGTCTGAACCGGTAGAATCCCACCCCGTCAGGATGGGCGTGGCCAGCTCGATGTCACTCATGTCGAGGGGGGGCGCCAGTGGTGACCCGAGCATTCTGCCAGCAAAAAATGGGCTCCCAAGCTCAGTTTTTGACAGTGCCAGCCTCCTGCAACCCTCTGCCAGTGAAAACAGAGCTCGGGGGGGCTGCCCATGGCCCTCCTGCACGCCGTTTTCTCTGGTAGAGGCGCCATGAGTTAGTCCTTCGCTGTTTCCAGGTTGGCCCTGCAGGCCAGATCTAAGTTTGACACCCCTGTTTTAGAAGATAAAAGTTAAATATTTTTAATGAGAACTCCTTTCCTGCTACTATTTCACCACCACTGTAAACATGGAGATTCCTCCCCACCCCCCAAAAAGTCCTATGTTTTATTCTCATGAGGCTGAAGGAGGTTGGATAAAAATAAGCTTAATTCTTCCTTCTGGGTTCAATTGATTGAAGAACTCCAAGGAACATAAACGGTCGTTTCCTTTGGAATCCCAAGATTCAATTGGCCAGGCGCTCGATCTGGATTTAAATCCAAAGCAATGCATAGACTTAATGCAAACTTCTTGGAGGTTGGTAGCTGTTGACGGTTTGCTTACGTTGTTCCATTTATACATGTATTTCCATAAAACAAAAGGTTTCCAACTATTTCTTGGCCTGATTAGAAACAGTTAATTGAATCTCTCCACCCCACATTGATGTCACTTTAAAACTAGAAGTAGAAGTTACTGCATCCACCATATTCTTTGGGAGTTAAATGGACTTGTAGATTGGATCCGATTTAACCTGAAACCATTCATTCAATTCAAATTATCAAAAGTGGTCAGGTCCGAATTGTCAGTTCTGTTTGGATCTCTGAATCCATTCAGATTTCTGAAGTGGCCTGAAGTTAAGTAGATAACAATTTTTAAAAACTTGATCTGGTTTGAATAGAAACGGCCATTCTTCGCATTTTTCAATAGCATCCAATTGTCTGGCTGATTTAGAGACAATGTTATCCAAGTCAACCACAAATGCAACAACTCATTTAGAATGAGACATCTGATTGCATTGCATTTCTGAATGGATTCTTTATGAACTCAAAGAAGTTGATCAAGTGAGAAAGCCAGAATAGATTAACAAAAGGATCTCAGCCAGACTCAAATCTAAATTGAAAATGTATTGCATCCTTCGTTCTTAACATCTTGTCTATATCAAGGGTCTCCAAACTTGGCAACGTGAAGGCTGGCGGACTTCAACTCTCAGAATGTCCCAGCCAGCTAGCTGGGGAATTCTGGGAGTTGAAGTCCGCCAAGCTTCCCGTTGCCAAGGTTGGAGACTCCTGGTCTATATGATATCTCTCTCAACATTGACATGAAGACGAAACACAGTGACTACAAACTGAGCTGGTCTACCTATTTCTTTTCTTTTTTTCCTATTCAGCTTAACTTGCAAAAAAATGAAGCAAGCTGCTAAAACCACAATTAGTGGCTTCTTCCTTCCAAGCAAACCAACAATAGGAGCTTGGCCATGCAGATTTGGTCTAGGCAGGAATAGATGCCTTGCAATCACTCAACCTCTGTGACTTAGACAGGAATGGCAGTTTGGTCGTGGGTGAACTTCTACCATTCAATCTTCTACTTCGAGCAAACTTCCAGAGTCTTACAAGATAAAGGAATAACATTTCTTTTTAGGGTGGGTTAGCATCAAAGTAACCCGTAGCATACATTTCAAATTATTCCCTTGCATAAAGGGGTGAGCAGGGACGTGGTGGCTCAGTGGCTAAGATGCTGAGCTTGTCAAACAGAAAAATCAGCAGTTCGGCAGTTCAAATCCCTAGTGCCGTGTAACGGAGTGAGCTCCCGTTACTCGTCCCAGCTTCTGCCAACTGAGCAGTTCGAAAGCATGTAAAAAAAAATGCAAGTAGAAAAATAGGGACCACTTTGGTGGGAAGGTTACAGCCTTCCGTGAGCCTTCGGTGTTTAGGCCACATGACCATGGAGACGTCTTTGGACAGCACTAGCTCTTCGGCTTTGTAACGGAGATGAGCACTGCCCCCTAGAGCCAGAAATGACTAGCATGTATGTGCGAGGAGAACCTTTACTTCTACCTTTAAAGGGGTGAGCAGCTATCTTTGGCCCATGAGATGTAGCTTTCGGTGAGAGTGCTTTTGTGTAGGCCATATGCTTGGGAAATGGAATTGAGGCAAAGAGTAAGCCGAGCGGAACAGAAGTGGATGAACCACATGGCCTTTCCGATATACACACCCAGTGGTGTGCTGGTAAATGTGCCAGCTCCAATGCCACTGCCACTAACCATCAAAGACCATCAGGGGCATGCTGGCCATTCTGCTTCTGTTCTGCTCTCAACCAACTCACAAAATTCCAGCCAGTTCCAGCATATTACTGCACGCATCCCTTCGTTTTCTTTTCGGTTTCTAAGGTTCCTCTTCTCCTTGTCCCACAAAGGTGCTTTTCCCAAAAGTTGGACTGGATTTTCTTGAATTTTTTTTTCTTCATTGAAAACATTTTGCTTCTCATCCAAGAATGGGATGAGAAGCGAAACTTCCTGGATGAGAAGCGAAACAAAGAGAACGTTCAGGAGAAACGTGACAGCTGTCTTCCAATACTTGAAGGGTTGTCAAAGAGCATTGATGTATTATCCACAGTATTTGAGGGAAGAACAAGAAGCACTTGGTGGAAGTTCATCAGAGGGAGATTGCACCTAGAAATAAGGAGGACTTTCCTGACAGTAAGAACGATTAATCAGTGGAAACAGCTTTTCTCCTGGAGTGGTGAGTTCAGAACCGAAGATGCTTCTTGGATGAGAAGCAAAACATTTTCAAGGGGAAAAGAAAGAAGTCCAATTGCCTTTTGGAAAAACACCTTTGGGGCAACCATGACCTGGATGATTGAGAATCGCCATAACATCCTCTTCTTTTTGTCCACCCAACCACTTATTCCAACAGGTTGCTACTGGGTATCCCTGCAGAATCTAAAACCATTCAGAATTGTTTCCAGGTTTTAAAAGAGATTAGTAGTAAGAGCTGCATGAGACCTGGGGAGAAACCCACCATCCATCTTGCCTTATTCCTGCCTGACCATTGAGTTCTCCCACTTTAACACCGTTGCATGATTCCATAAAAATAAGCCTTGATGTATTTAGACTTATCTTTCCCCCGTACTGTAGAAAAAGTAGCACTATGCTACTTTACCAACTTACGTGCATTTTCTTTTCCAAACCAAAAACTGTTGTTTCTAACAAGACTGAATCAGGGAGGTTTTTCATAGAAGAAGGGAGTTTTCCCCCCCACCCCCAACCATCCTCACCTCTTTCTCTGGGCAATGTGGCTCATATATCTTCATTTTGACTGTAACCTTTGATAGCTGATGTGTACTGTTTTAGAAATAAAAAGATGTAGCTCTCAAGCTTAGCACGGACCGCACGGTATCAGTGTTAGCAAACATATAGGCAATTTTAAGATATAAAGATGTGCAATTGTGTACAATTTTATGACTAAGTACAGATAACCAAATAAAAAGAAAAAAGATTAAAAGAGACCTTTGGCTTTGTTTTCATGTTCCTCGCCATCTCTTTAAGACCACTGCTTCTCAGTGTTGAGACTCTAGAAAGAGTGCAGAGAAGAGCAACAAAGACGATTAGGGGACTGGAGGCTACAAACATACAAATAACGGTTGTAGGAATTGGGGATGTCTCGTTTAATGAAATGGACTAGCGGGGACATGACAGCAATGCTCCAATAGGAGTTTCCACCGATTCTCCAAAGCACCAGAGGGCAGGACAAGAAGCAACGGGTGGAAATTAACCAAGGAGAGAAGCAACTTCAAAGTAAGACATTTGCTGACAATGAGAACAATTAATCACTGGAAGAACTTGCCTTCAGAAGTTGTGAATGCTCCAACGCTGGACATTTTAAAGAAGAAATTGAACCACCATATGTCTGCAAGGGACACGGTGGCTCAGTGGCTAAGATGCTGAGCTTGTTGATCAGAAAGTTCAGCAGTTTGGTGGTTTGAATCCCTAGCACCACATACTGGAGTGAGCTCCCGTTCCTTGTCCCAGCTTCTGCCAACCTAGCAGTCCGAAAGCACGTAAAAAATGCAAGTAGAAAAATAGGGGCCCCTTTGGTGGGAAGGGAACAGCGTTCCTCTGTGCGCCTCCGAAGGCGTTTAGTCCTGCCAGCCGCCTGACCATGGAGACATCTTTGGACAGTGCTGGCTCTTTGGCTTTGTAACGGAAATGAGCAGCACCCCCTAGAGCCGGAAACGACAAACACGTATGTGGCCGGGGAGCCTTTACCTTCACCTTATGTTTGCAATGGTATAATCCAAAGTTTCCTGCTTCAGCAGGGAGTTGGAGTAAAAGTCTTCCAAGGTAACTTCCAACTTTGATTCTATTCTGTACTGTTCTATTTTCTATTCTATTCCATTCCATTCCATTCTCCATTCTTCTCCATTCTTTAACCTCTCTTATTCTATCCTATCCCATCCTTTGCAGCTTTCAGAGAAGAATCTTCTTGGAGAATCTTCTTGGATGAGAAGTGAAATGTCTTCAAAGAAAAAACAGAAAGTCCAATTGCCTCTTGAAAAAAAGCACCTTTGGGACAACCTGTACACACATTCATATGATTGCTGGATGCTGCAGTAAGTCATACATGGGAGCTGCTAAGCATCCAAACCATGTTCACATCACTACATAGGTAGGGCAACAGTCATAAGTTTGAACTGAGTCATAACTGACTTTTTAGGAGCCTGTTATTAATTGAAGCCATTATTAAACAAACTATCATTAGAGGAAGATTATATGTAATGTGCAATAAAATCTGCCCGACAACCCTGTTGACTATCCACAAGAATATTTAAAAACAGCTCCATCCAACAAGAAACATGACTAAAATGTCACTTTTTTATTAACAATAACAGACAGATCAAATGTGAGTATGAGTTAAATTATAACCAGATGTTCAGTGTAGTAAAATCTCAGTTTAATGAGTCTGTCACTACTACATCTTTTCCATGATGCCATTTTCATTACAAATGGTATCATTGGCACCATTGTGTATAATGATGCAACTGATGTGAATTTTACAGCGTGAATTGTTGCACCACGAGGCAAAGGAAATAGCCTCAATTGCCTGGATGGTTTACAGTGCGGTGAACTTTTGGTTGAATTCTTGGCTTCCAAAGTCTGCTAAAATTAAGTTGGTTCAACTGAGATTTTACTGCATCCATCAGTGACCCAGAGCATTGCATCACAATAGTCCAGTTGGGAAGTTGGGAAGAGGAGTGTCTCTTGGAGGCAACATCATCCTTGGCTGATGACTTTGGCTAGAGTTTGTGCAATAGGACCATGACGGCAGATGCTGTGCTTTGCCCAAAGATGAAAGCTCCACAAAAGACGGTGATCATCCCCCAGGCAATTAGGCAGGACCTGCAAGGAAGTGGGGGGGAATGAGGCCATGTTGCACATATTTTTGTGGCCTGTCAGACGCCGGCTTCTCCAACAGCTGAATCGGAGGAGGAGGAGGAGGAGGAGGCGTGGGGGTCAGGATCAGCATCAAGGCAACCTTAGAATTCCGAGGGGGAAGAGGGAATGGAGCTGGCAGAGAGAGAGAGAAAGAAAGAGAGAGAGAGAGAGAAAGAGAGAGAGAGAGAGAGAGAGCCATCTGTAAGCTCTCAGATGGAGAGTCAACAGCCCCCAGGTCTGGAGGTGGCTGATGAGGAAGAGGAGGAACAGCTGGGTCCATTGCCTGATGCATGGATGCGCAGAAGGCAGAGGGGAGGAGAGCAGTGGAAATCTGTGGGCCGGTCCTTGGGACAGAAGAGCCATCACCGCTAGCGAGGCCCCACCCTAGCTCTGGCGATAAAAGGCAGACTTCTGGTTTGCTCGTCATCGGAGCGGAATCCGCGACTCTGCACGGTTTCACTTCAAGCTAACTTGCTGGAGGTCCCAATCAAGACCAGAACCACCCTGGAGGGGTGGTGAAGAAAGGGGGAATCAACTGGAGGGTTGAGGGGAGCTGCAGCTCCCTTCCCTGACAGGAAAAACCCCTTCCAAAGGCAAGCTGTACTGGTGGTCCTAAAATGGCCACCACGAACAGCCCTGAAAACTAAGTCTCTGCTGGAGCAGAACCAGGCAAAATACGTGGATTTTGAGGTACCCCGTGGCAGACAACTATTTATCTCCCTTCTGGACTGACTTGTTAGCCTGCGGTGAAACAGAAACTTTTGCCGGGGCTGCTGATGCTCCTAATAAAGGAATCATTGATTTAACTGCAGAGGGTTTGTCGTGTTTGGGGAGCTGGATCAGAACATGCGTCTTCTATAAAACCTGCATGAAGATCCAGCTTTTATAGAAATGCCCGGACGTGTCAACCTGCAGAACAACTTCGGCTGAAGCCATTCAAGGGGGAGGGGCGAGAGCATGGAGGGGAGGAAACTCAGAAACATGGTGCCTCAGCCAGCTAGCCATAAACATCTCCCAGCCGGCGTGTGAACCAAGGTCATGTCAACGGACACCTGTTGAAGTTGAGTGGGAACCTACACCTGGACTGATTGGCCCATGTGATTCGAGAGACATGGGGGGTGAGGGGTGAGGAGGTCTTATTCTTTTAACCATCCCTAAGCATGGGAATAATTTCCAGCTAGCTTCACCTTTCTAAGCGCCAATGTGACGTACTCAACAGAGCACAGGTGTCAAACTCAAGGCCCCGGAGCTGGAACCAGCCCATGGGGTGCTTAGATCTGGGCCCACAGGCCCATCCTGCAAACTGCAAAGGACCGGCCCGTAGTGCCTCTGCCAGCAAAAATGGACCTCGGGAGCTCACCCGGGCTTCAGTTTCACTGGCAGACGGCTCTGCAGGAAGCCATCGCAGCCTAAAACGGAGCCTTGAGGAGTGACGTTGAGCTGGCCACACCTCCCACACCCCCAGCCACAACCCACACACACAAAGTCAAACACAATGTCAACTTGTAAAACATTCCTATACTTGTTTCCAAGTTGCCCTAAGAAAGAGGCGAAAGACTGGAGAAGCACACGGCAAATGAACTTAGAAGCACATTCCAACGTTATCTTAATAAAGATTGTAGCTAAGCTACTGGAACTTTCCCCCCCCCCCCCGAAAAACTTTAATTGGAGAATGTGATGGATGACGCCAACCCGTGTATGTGCTTAATTAGAGAAACTGATTTATGGCACACCAAGGGGGGGGGGGAGAGGGGAATCACAGGTGACTGTAATGACATATGCCAGAATCGGCTTCATACAGGCCACGCCAGTATGTCAACCCTAATAAATTATTTGAAGCTTTTTGAAGTTTGGCTCAAGGCTTATGATTTAACCACTGGAATCCTGATACACAGCCCTGATGCGGCCCTCGGTGAAATCCAGTTTGTTCCCTCTGCAATAAAGGAATTCTTGAACCTGAACAAAAGGTCAAGAGTCCTGATGTCCCGGAGTTCATTACTCAGAACGATGCCAGGACGTTCATTTAATAAAAAAATAAAAATTATTTTTTTTCCCCTGTTCGAATTGGTTGCCCATTTGCCCAACAAGTCCCTTTGGCAAAATGGGAGAATAAGCCTCTCTTACACCTTTGCAAAAAACACGGCCAGCTGTGTGCTGCGATCACGTCTTTCTCGGCTTCAGGATTCTTCCCAGCTGAAACTTGCCAAGGCCCATCGCCGCTGCGCTTTTGCATCCATAAAAATGCAGAAGGAAGAATCCGGAAGCCGTTTTGCACATGGTCACGGTGAGGGAGCTGCTTTGCAGTAATGTGGGAAGGCTTCAAGCTACTTGAGGCCTAAATTAGATTACAGACCCCTCATATCCCGGTCATAAACTGCTTCAACTCCTTCCCTCGAAACGATGCTTCAGAGCCCTGCACACCAGAACAACTCGACATAAGGACAGTTTTTCCCCGAACACCTTCACTCTGCTAAACAAATAATTCCCTCAACACTGTCCAACTACTTACAAAGTACCTGATGATTCTTGACGAGTGTATCTTTTCTTTTATGTACACTGAGAGCATTTGCACCAAGACAAATTCCTTGTGTGTCCAATCACACTTGGCCAATGAAGAATTCTATTCTGTTCTATTCTATTCTATTCTATTCTATTCTATTCTATTCTATTCTATTCTATTCTATTCCATTCCATTCCATTCCATTCCATTCCATTCTATTCTATTCTATTCTATTCTATTCTATTCTATCCTATCCTATCGATGAATGGAACCAGCCACTAATTCAAAGTAACTACTAAACTCTCCGTTCCTATTGTGCAGAAAAAAAAAATTGGTTGAAGGGTTGGAGGTGGTAAACATACTTGGTTCTTGGCCTGAAGGGTTCCGTCTCCATTGCAAACACCAAACACAGCCCTGAGGTAAAAGAGAAAGCATTCAACATGAACAATTCCTTAAAGATCAATGGCAGCACAGTGGTTAGAATGCAGTATTGCAGGTTGACTCTGCCCACAATCAGCAGTTCGATCCTGATTGGCTCACGGTTGACTCAGCCTTCCTTCCTTCCGAGGTCAATAAAATGAGGACCCAAATATGCTGACTCTGTAAACCACTTAGAGAGAGCTGTAAAGCACTGTGATGCAGTATATAAGTCTAAGAGCTATTGCTATTGTTCTTCCTTTCTTCCTTCCTTCCTTCCATCCATCCGTCCAGTATTGCAGTGGAACAGCTTTCCTCCTGGAGTGGTGGAGGCTCCATTATTGGAGGTTTTCGGGAAGAGGCTGGACAACTGGTCAACAGAGGGATTTGAAGACTAGAGTAATATTTGGGCTAACCTGTTGACTGTTTTTATAGAAAAAGAAAGAAAGGAAGGAAGGGGGGGAGGGAAGGAAGGAAGGAAGGAAGGAAGGAAGGAAGGAAGGAAGGAAGAAAGAAAGAAAGAAAGAAAGAAAGAAAGAAAGAAAGAAAGAAAGAAAGAAAGAAAGAAAGAAAGAAAGAAAGAAAGAAAGAAGAGATATAGATATATAGATAGATCCATAGATATATTGATATAGATGTTGAGTCAATTCGATTGTTAGATAGAGATCTCCTTATCTGAAATATTAGTTTATACAATATATTTTTCTGGTTAAATCAGGAGGAGAAAGGTTATAACTATTTACAGACCCATTATGTAAGAGGAGAAGAATTTATCAGTTTTTATCATTTTTCTTTTCAGCATCCAGCCAAGCTGGATTTTTAAAAATATATTTCATGTTGGATATTTGGGTCATTTTTTTCCTTTTATGTACACATTTTTTTCTTTTTTCACTGTTGCTGTTGGATGTGTGGTTTTTTTTTCCTGTTTTGTATTTTATTCCTATTGATAAAACATATTATGGATGGATGGATGAATGAATGAATGAATGAATGAATGAATGAATGAAGATTGGACAACCATTTGTCCTGGGTGATATAAGGACTTCTGCCTTGTGCAGGAGGGTTGGACTAGAAAACCTCTAAGGTCTCTTTGAGCCCTAGGATTCTATGATTCTGTGAAAATCACCAGTTTTTTTACAAAATAACTCATCAAATAAGTTTTTTCATCCTAACCGGCTGCTGCTACCTTTGGCAGTCCAACTCTTCCCCTGATTCCTAGGAGAGATCAGGCACATTTACCTACCTGGAAATATGAAGATGAAGAAGGCCCCAATCCCTCCAATGACACTGACCACCTCGCTGATGTCAGGTACACACAGGGCAATGATGAGGGTGACCACCACCCAGGCCATGGTCAGCAAAATCCGCATACATTTCTCGCTGGTCTCCATCTGGATGCAGCCCTGCTTGGAGCCAAGGCACACATCTTGCAGGACAGACCTAACAGATACATTGGGGCATTTATCTAAGGCAGGGGGCTCTTCAAACTCAACAGCTTTTAAGACTTGTGGACTTCAACTCCCAGGATCTCTCTGCCGGTCATGTTAGCTCAGGAATTCTGGGAGTTGAAGTCCACAAAGTCTTAAACTTGCCCAGTTTGAAGATCTAAGGATTCAAGAATCTGCTGACGCCTTAAACATGAATCCATTTATCCCTCTAGATCAGGGCAGGGTGTCCAACCTTGGCCACTTTAAGACCTGTGGACCTCAACGCCCAGAATTCCCCAGCCAGCTATTCTGGGAGTTGAAGTCCACGAGTCAAAATCGCCAAGGTTGGACACCCCTGCTCTAGATACTTTCCCCCCCAAAAGCCTTGACTTCCTCAGATTTTCTGAAACCCAGAAAAGTTAACCACGGAGAGGTCTTTCAAAGAGTAACTGTTGGTCCTTGAAGACCAGAAACACCACTGTGAGTATCATCTCCAGCTTCATTGCAAGGTTACCCACGATCTTAACACCAACTCAATTCCTTTGCCGATTCTCCCCAATCAATAAATAAAAAAGATACACTGGGGATAGTGACAACAAGCAAGTTTCTGGTGACCCCATTTTGTGCAAACATCAGAACGCTGTTTTTTCTGAAACAGAACTTAACACCATTCTAGAAACTGTTATTTTTTTGCTTCTCACCTGCCTAGGAAAAGGACAATGGGGTAGATGGTGATAATGGAGATGCCAAATAACAGCCGAGCTACAATAACCATCACATCATTTCCAGGGTAGGACATTAGGATGTCCGCCGCGACGTCAGCTCCAAATGTGAAGTAGCCATACAAACCTTGCAGGAAATAAACTCAGGAGGTTATAAAACTAGACAATCTGTGATCTGATGGGTCATTGTTTCAGAAAGATTTCCAGTGCAAATAAGTCTATGGTCTTATTTATAGTAGCTTACTCTCCACTTTGGGTAGGGATTTCCTCCTTGACGATTCTCCAATTAATCAAATAACTGGTTAACCAAATTAGCAAGGTAAGCTACTATAAATAAATGGGCAGTAAATTCCACACACACATGCATGCAGGTGCACATACACACACACACACACACACACACACACACACACACACTGAAGATGTTAACTAGTTGGACAATGAAATATCTCCAAGCAAAGCTCAGAGATCACAAGAAACTCCACTAACTTAGTTATTTGGATGAAAGAAAATTGTATGGCAAACTCTTAAACTTCTAAACCCTGAAGAATTATTTGCCCACCAATGATTCCCGCCAAGCCCTGTTGGTAAAATTTCTTGAGCTGCTTGTAAGAATTCCAGCAACGGAACTATTTCCCATCTAGGATCAAATATATCCCAATATCCATTGGTGAGATTTTAAGCGCTATGATGCTTCAGGCTACCTAGCCAATATTTGGCTAGAATGGGGTGGAGTTGAAATCCAGCCTGGTGCCTTCTGAAATTAGTGGTTTCCTTGCAGACATGTCATTGCTCAAACTAGGTAACATCATCAGTGCTGGCTTCACTAACTCTGATGATGTTACCTAGATGGGTCATGAAACTACCAAGCACAGAGAGCACCAAAGACCTCACAGTCCTCCTCCTCCTCCTCCTCCTCCTCTTCTTCTTCTTCCTCC